CGAAGGTCCCAGTGGCGCAGTTCGCATGCGGTTCCCTCGCCCAGGACAGCGTTTCGTGGTCCCATGGGGAGCTCCACCGAAGGTCCCAGTAGCGCAGTTCGCATGCGGTTCCTGCGCCTGGTACGACGTTTCGTGGCCCCAGAGGGAGCTCCACCGAAGGTCCCAGCGGCGGAACTCGCATGCCGTTCCTGCGCGGAGTACAGCGTTTCGTGGCCCAAGAGGGAGCTCCGCGAAAGACCATACCCACAACTGCGGTACTCACAACTGCATGTGGTTGGGTTCTTCGCCAGGCTAACTTTGGTTATTTTCGGCTTCCTGAGGGCCCTAGACAGGCCCTGGGACCGTAAAAAGCCGGCTCAGGATGAACACCTGGCCCCAGTGAAGTTGTCCAGAACTCCAGGTTTCCATGCATCGAGAAAATTGAGCGCCAAGTGTTTGGGTAGGTACCGATACCTCCACCCTTGCCGCTTTTTTGCCTGATAGCGTTCCGCTAGAGGGTTTCAATGCAGGACCACAGAAGAGTCCCACAGGCAGGACGGGGAACCCTAGACGGCCTTCTCCAGCAGCTGTTTCGCTTAAGAGTTCCACACGATTTATTCAGGAATCTTGCTCTCGCCTAGATGTCGACTACAGTGGGGCCCATGCCAAGAAACACCTTGCTCGCCTCCCGGGTGCCCTGGGTTTCTTGGGTTTCGATGGTTTTGCGATGCAAGGCGTGACGTGCCCACGCCAAGCACCGATGGGCGTCCGGGGGTCTTAGGGCTGGGCTTGTCGTGGAAGGCTTCTCGTGGACTGGCCTCCACCGTAGTTCGGAATCTTGCTTTCGCCTCAATGCCGACTGTATCATTGGTCCAGACGGCCACGATCCCGTTCACCAAAGGTACACCGTGCAACTGGCCGAGCCCAGACCGCCCCCTCCTCGACCCGCCTCGTCACTCTTCCTGCTATGAGTGTGCTTTGCTGGCGTTGTGCGTAGCCCGCCTAGCTTTCAGCGGAAGAGGTTCGCGCTCGCCCCGCAGATGAAAGAGTGTGCTCTGCTGGCGTACAGTGGGGGCCCATGCCAAGAAACACCCTGCTTGCCTCCAGGGTGCCCTTGGCTTCTCGGGTGTCGATGGTTTTGCTGTGAACAGCGTGACGTTCCCGTACCGAAACTCCATGGATGTCCGGGGGTCTCAGGGTTGGGTTTCTTGTGGAAGGCTTCTTGTGGTCGAGCCCCTACTGTAGTTGCCTTTTTGGAGTCTTGAGCTGACGGAAGCCCGAAGTTGCGACAATGCGAATCTCATACGGAAGCCACGGGAAAAACAATGATGTTGGTCTCTTCTGGCCCTGTTGGAGGTCCTCTTGTGGCCCTTTTCGGCCTTCTTGGAGGCATGTTGGGCCGTCTTGAGGCCATCTCGGGCCGCCTTGGAGCAATCTCTTGAACCGTCTTCGAGGCATCCTGGGCCATCTCGGTGTCCTTTGCATGGGCCGTCTTGGAAGCTCGGGGAGCGGACCCACTGTTTTTGACGAGGGATCGTGGCCTCGCAAGCGCGGATCCACGTTTTTCTTGAGGGATCGTGGCCTCGGCAGGGGGGCGGCGCATGCGGGGAGAGGTGGGTCGAGAGGAGGGGGTCCCTTAAGAGGATGTCAAAACCCTACCAGACAGTACTGCCACGCCTCAAGGCGCCAGGGGGCACGGTGAAGGATAACCGCGCAGCCGCTATCATGCTATTGCTGGCCTCGCCGTCCAATGGCGAAAATAGTTCGAGGGAGAGCAGGCGCATCCGTTGCACCACTTGCGCCAACCTACTCGTAACACTCGGACGGAGATCCCAGACTCGACCGTGCCGCCAATCGAGATGCGCAGGCGGGGTGGGTGCCCCGCCTCAGCACCTGCTCCCTCCGACTCACAAGGGTGCCTGAGGCAAGGCCGGTCCGGCTGCGTCGCAGCCGCTTGCGTTCGGCCGGTTCGGTTCGGTGGGCTGTCGGGTCGTTGCCGCGTCGCTGCTTCCTTCTCGGCCGCTCCTGGCAGACTTACTCTCGGCCTCGCTGTCGGATCGGTCGGCCGTCATGGAGCCGTCGCCGCTCTCCTCTCCACCGCCCCCGTCCTCCCTCCTGGAGATCCGACGTTGCAGAACAGAATATCACCGTGAAGATTCAGGACCGGAGCCCTAGACCCAATCTTCCTGAGGCAAAGCGGCTGCCCGCTGCCAACCCCGCCACCGTGCCCGCGACAGCGCAGCAGAAAGGAGGCTGAGTGTAGGAACAGCGCCGACGAGTGGTCTGATCAGGACGGGGCGTGAGCTCGACCTCGTCTTCGTCCGCGCGGTACGAAGGAACTCGAGTTTACAGCCAGCGGCAGTTCATTGAGTGGTCTGAATGAGGAGGAGGAGGAGGAGGAGCTGGCGGAGGAGGAGGAGGAGGAGGAGGACCATTGTAAACCCAGGAGTCATCAAAGATGTTGCAACAAACCCTCCCTCCAAGCTCCCGCTTCATAGGCCCTTACAGCGGTTCAGTTCCACTGAGGGAACTGCCTCGTTGGAAGACAATCGTTTGAAGACCCTGAAGCATGCCAATACATTGTTCTCAGGATCCTAACGCCACGGATCAACTTGACTGTTGCGTCTTGACGATCCTGAATCGTGCCAGAACGGCATTCCTGGGACTTCAACACCGCGATGCAACGTAACTGCTGCACCCTTATGATCCTGAGTCCTTCCAAAACACCACTTCTGGTACGCTGATCATGGAATCCAAGGACCTCTTTCAAAGTTTACCAACGAATGTGCCTAAGGCGTCAACCGCCCTCAATCCATGGAACTCTTGCAACTTTTGAACGAATGTGCGCGGTCCTAAGGCGAGAGTCACATTTTGAAAACGACTCGCCCTCTATCTGTTAACCTGTTGCCATTTTTTAAGCTTCAGGGTCATACATGATGAGGGCGTCTCAGTCGAAACGCCCGGCCCGCCCTGAAAATTGGCCTCGGGGTGCGACAGGGATAAATTATTTATAAGGGAAAATAATGGATGATGAGGAGGCGGAGCAGGATGAGGAGGAGGAGGAGGAGCAGGAGAAGAGGGCGAACATGAAGACAAGGAGGAGAAGGCTTCTTGGGGTCACTTAGGGGCCTCCTGGGGGGGGGGAGTCGCCCAAGGGCCTCTTGGGACCCTCTTGGGTGCCTCCTGGGGCCCCTTGGGAGCCTTTTGGGCCGTCTTGAGGGGCTCTAGGCTTGTCTGACGCCGTCGGAGGCCGTCTTGGGCCCTACTTGGAGCGCGTCAGGGCAGTCTTGGGGTCCTTTTGGGAGCCCTTCGGGCGATCTCTGGGTCCTCCGGGTCCTCTTTGGCCGACGTGGGGCCTTCTTGGGGGCCTCTCGGGCAGCTCGGAGCTATCTTGGAGGCCTCTTGGAGGCTGCTTGGGCCGTCTTGGGCGGTCGGAAGCCCAAATTTACGAGGGCCTCATAATCAATGGTTTTTGCCTCTTCGGGCTCTCCAGGAGGGCCTCTTGGAGCCCTCTTGGGCCGTCTTGGGGGCCTCTTGAGCTGTCTTGAGGCTGTCTTGGGAGCCTCTTGAGCCGTTTCGGGCCATCTTGGGCCGTTTTGGTGTCATGTTGGCTGCTGCCGTGGAAGCTGTCTTGGAGGCCTTTTTGGCCGTTTGGAGACCGAAAAGAGCGCCACAAGGCAAACTCAGGATTCGATTTTCAGAAAGCTGTAAACCACCTCCCAGACAACGGACAGGCATTCTAACACCTCAATCCTTGCAGGCACGATGGCGGATCTCTCGAGCCGGATCGATCTGCGAGGGTCCCAGCGCCCGAAATTTGGGGAATACAACCAGCGTGAACGATCTGCAACGCCCAGATCTCAGGGTGCTCCCCCCGTCACACAGGCGTCCGATGTCCTGAGCTTTCCAATGTGGGGTCCCATGAGGTGTGGACCCTTGCGGTCACTCCTTGCCTGGGGCCACTCTCGCGCGTGGCCAGGAGAGCGGCCTTCCGTCGCCACTCCCGGGACGCGAGTGGTTCTGGGCCCCCCGTCCCCAGAGGAGGAGGAGGAGGAGGAGGAGGAGAGGAGGAGGAGGAGGAGGAGGAGGAGGAGGAGAGGAGGAGGAGGAGAGGAGGAGGAGGAGGAGGAGGGAGGGAGGGAGGAGGGAGGGAGGGAGGGAGGGAGGAGGGAGGGAGGGAGGAGGAGGAGGAGGAGGAGAGGAGGAGGAGGAGGAAGGGGGAGGGGGAGGAAGAGGGGGGGGGGAGGAAGAGGGGAGGAGGGGGAGGAGGGGGAGGGAGGAGGAGGAGGAGGAGGAGGGAGGAGGAGGAGGAGGAGGAGGCATCACCCCTGCGCGGCATCCTTGGAATCCCAGGAGATCGCACCGCGCGGTCCGTCACCGCGCGGCCTCGGCGCCCCGGAGGCCGCGGTCTCGCCCGAGGCGCCCCTTCGGAGAGAGAGAGATAGAGAGAGAGAGAGAGAGAGAGAGAGAGAAAGAGAGAGAGAACGGCCCGAGCCCCAATGGCCCGTGCGACGACCCCGAGCCCCCGCGGAATCACTTGCGCTGTGTGTGTGTGGCCACCACACCGTATATATACATACATATATATATATATATATATATATATATATATACGGGGGCGGCACAGAGAGGGGGGTGAGGACAAGGGGGGGGGTGGATATCCTGGCGGGGGCCATGACATCTCCCCAGATTTCGTGGCGCCGCCTCTCGTTTCATGACGTCCCTGGCCCCCCCGCTGGGCCGCGCACGCGCCGCCAGCCATGATTCGCGCCTCCCCCTCTCTTGGACACCCCCCTCTTGGCCGCTCCCGATCTGTGTGGCCCCGCCCTCCGCCCCCCCCCCCCACGAGGAAGCTCGGCAGGTGAGCTCCTCTGCGGAAGCCACACCGGCGCGCGCCCCGCGCGCGCCTGCCGAAACAGCACGCCAAAGACCATCGCGCGCGCGCGGTCGCGCCAGCAGCACGCGCTGCGGGTCCCCGCCCCCCGCCCCCTTCGCCCCCCGGCGGCCTCGCCCGGCGCCAGGGACCGCGACTGGGGCGCGCTGGACCCCGACGGCGCGGCGGAGGAGGCCCCGGTGGCCCCGCGGCGCAGCGGCGCCAGCTCGCTGGAGGAGCCCCGGCGGCGCAGCGGCGCCCGCAAGCCCGGGGGCGCCCGAGGGGGTCGGGTGCGGCGAGGGAGGCGAACGGCCCAGGGGGGAGCAGCGCACGCCCGTCGTTGGAGGCAGGTGTTCCGGGAGTCCCAGGTCCCAATCTGCTCTGGGCGCCGTCCCGCTCCGGTCATCGGGCGCGTTCCCCTCCTCCCCCCTGCTCTTCCTGGGGGCGAGCGGCGGTCCAATCTATTTCCAACGCCTTCCTGCTTCATGTTTCCGCCCACTTCTCGCGACCGACGGGTAGGGGCGAATAGCCAAGTGGGGAGCAATACACGTATCCAGGGCGCCGATGGTCCATGTCTTCGGCGAGGATCCCCGACGAATACGTGTAATGCCCGCCCCTGGGCTATTCGCTCTTATCGTTTCCTCCGAGAGGGGGGTGACCAGCCACGCGCAACCCTGGGATCTGGGCTTTGCATTTTTTCACATGGGGCGTTTCGCCCAGTTTTGTGCCCAGGGCTCTCACAGATTAGGTCGGTCTCGAAAAGTGCAGCAGAAACATAGGGTCCTAAGGCTCTGGTCGTGAATTTTTGCTGCACTTTTTCGCAGCGTCGGATCTGAGGGAAGAGTGACCTTTCGCTGGATGTGGTCTTTGGTGCGGGCTCACAGGATCACCCCAGCACCGGCTCGCGCGCTTGGATCAGGCCCCCCCGCGTCCCCCCAAACCGCGCACCAAAGGCCACTTTTGCGCAGGGTCGCTCTTGCGTGCATCCGAGGTGAGGGACAGGTATGTTCGGGCCGAACGAAATGGGGGATAGGGAAAGGGGGGGGTACGAAATCTGCTGCATGCAGCCAGTTTCGCCCCCGCCGCCAGGCCCATTCCTCGATACATGGGCGCACCAGTCGCCGGGAGGCGCCGGGGAAATCAGCCAGGTGAGCTGATTCGCCCCCCCCCCCGCTTTGCTGCCCCCCCCTTTCGTGCGACCCGAGCTGTGCGTGCGGGTGTCATGGGCAGGGCCAAGATGACATCTCTCGGACTTCACACACACGCGGCGCCCTCGTCTTTCCTCCCACGTGCCTACGAGCCCCGAGCCCCCCCCCCTCTCCTCCCTCGCCCGCGCACGCGCCTCGGGCCATGACGCTCGGCCACGCGCAGAGGTGGGCAGGCGGAGGTGGGAAGGCTTCTCCGAGGGAGGCTGTTTCCCAGAAGGCCCCGGCTGCACATCTGCAGACGAGGCCCGCGCCCCGTAAGAAGCCTGCCCCTGCCCCTCCCCCCTCCCCCCTCCCCCTACGAGTGCTCCCGAGAAGCCTTCCCCCCCCCCCCCCCCCCCTCTGCGCGACGCCAAGATGCCCCCCCCCCTCTTCGGCGCGCCCGGCGAGCGCACCCAGTCGTCCTTCCACACCAGCGACAGCGACGCGGCGGTGGAGTCCAGGGTGGCCAAGGCGCCTCGAGGGCTGCCGAACCGTGCCGCGGGTTCGTTCCGCGTCGGCCCCGGCGTGGGCTCCCGACGCCGCGGCGATCGTGCTGCCTGGAACGATCAGCCGGTTCCGCAAGTCTGGGCCTCCTAGATGGGGTCGGAGTAGATGGGCTCGGAGGATCGCGCCGCATCGCCGACGCATCGACGACGCGGGTCGATGCGGAGCCCGATTTTCTCCACGACGACGTCGCCGATGCATCGCCGACGTCGACGATGCATCGCCGGTGCACCCCCGATGCATCGCCGATGCATCACCGATGTATCGGCGATGCGGCGCGATCCTCCGACCCCATCTACTCCGACCCCATCCGGGAGGCCTCTAGCAGAGTCGGATCGTCCAGCATCGCCTAATTCTGGATTACTGGTCCTTCGTTCCAGCGTTCAGCGCCCGCGGCGGGGTCGCCGCCAGGAGACACGGCGCGAACCTGCAGTGCGCTTTTTTCCCAACCATCCTGTGGTGTTGGGTCCTCGTTTTGAAGAGACGTCGCCCCGCGTTCTCCTCCTCTCCTCTCCTCCTCCCCCTTCTCCCTCCTCCATCACCATCACCATCACCATCACCATCACCATCACCATCACCATCATCATCATCATCATCATCATCATCATCATCATCATCATCATCATCATCATCATCATCATCATCATCATCATCATCATCATCATCATCATCATCATCATCATCATCATCATCATCATCATCATCATCATCATCATCATCATCATCATCATCATCATCATCATCATCATCATCATCATCATCATCATCATCATCATCATCATCATCATCATCATCATCATCATCATCATCACCCGTTTCAGCATACCCCTCACACGTTTCGTGGCCCCATAGGGAGCCCCACCGAAGGTCCCAGTGCTACCGTCCGCATGCGTCCCCCCACCCAGTACAGCGTTTCGTGGCCCCATAGGGAGCCCCACCGAAGGTCCCAGTGCTACCGTCCGCATGCGTCCCCCCCACCCAGTACAGCGTTTCGTGGCCCATAGGGAGCCCACCGAAGGTCCCAATGCTACCGTCCGCATGCGTCCCCCCCACCCAGTAGAGCGTTTCGTGGCCCCATAGGGAGCCCCACCGAAGGTCCCAGTGCTACCGTCCGCATGCGTCCCCCCCACCCAGTACAGCGTTTCGTGGCCCCATAGGGAGCCCCACCGAAGGTCCCAGTGCTACCGTCCGCATGCGTCCCCCACACCCAGTACAGCGTTTCGTGGCCCCATAGGGAGCCCCACCGAAGGTCCCCTAGTGCAGTACAGCCGTGGTAGGGAGCCCCACCGAAGGTCCCAGTGCTACCGCGCCCCCCCACCCAGCACAGCGTTTCGTGGCCCCATAGGGAGCCCCACCGAAGGTCCCAGTGCTACCGTCCGCATGCGTCCCCCACGCCCAGTACAGCGTCCTGTGGCCCTGCAGGGAGTTCCGCCGAAGGTCCCAGTGCTACCGTTCGCATGCGTCCCCCACACCCAGTACAGCGTTTCGTGGCCCCATAGGGAACCCCGCCGAATATCCCAGTGCTACCGTCTGCATGCGTTCCCCCCCCCGTACAGCGTTTCGTGGCGCCATAGAGAGCCCCACCGAAGCTCCTGGGACAGTCCGCATGCGTCCCGGAAATCTAATTTGGCATTTTCACCCCACCCAGTACGGCGTTTCGCGGCCCCATAGGGAGCCCCACCGAAGCCCCCAGTGGGACTGTCCGCATGCGTCCCTGAAACACAATGTTGGTATTTTTACAAGACCCACTACGGCGTTTCGTGACCCCGTAGAGAGCTCCACCGAAGCCCCCAGTGGGACCGTCCGCATGCGTCTCGGAAACCCAGTTTGGCATTTTCACCCACCCAGTACAACGCTTCGTGGCCCATAGGGAGCTCCGCCGAAGCCCCCAGTGGGACCGTCCGCATGCGTCCCGGAAACCAAATTTGGCACACCCCTCATACGTTTCGTGGCCCCATAGGGAGCTCCACCGAAGCCACCACTGGGACCGCCCGCATGCGTCCCACACACCAGGTTTTGCATTTTCTCCCCACCCAGTACGGCGTTTCGTGGCCCCATAGGGAGTTCGCCCGACGGCCCCAGTTCTACCGCCCGCATGCGTTCCCCCCCACCCAGGGCAGCGCTTCGCGGCCCCATAGGGAGCTCCACCGAAGCCCCCAGTGGGACCGTCCGCATGCGTCCTGGAAACCAGATGTGGCACACCCCTCATACGTTTCGTGGCCCCATAGGGAGCTCCACCGAAGCCACCAGTGGGACCGCCCGCATGCATCCCACACCAAATTTGGCATTTTCACCCCACCCAGTACGGCGTTTCGTGGCCCCATAGGGGGCTCGCCCGACGGCCCCAGTTCTACCGCCCGCATGCGTTCCCCCCCACCCAGTGCAGCGCTCCGTGGCCCCATAGGGAGCTCCACCGAAAAGAATATTCACAATTGCGGTACCCACAACCGCATATGGTTGGGTCCGTCGCCAGGATATTTTTTATTCTCTCCGCCACTGCCTGTTTGTGCTTCCCCCCCTGCCCTTTCTGGGCCCTCTTCGTCGCCACGGGTGGGCGTGCGGTGCTTGGGATGGGTCTGCTAGGGTCCGATTCTGAACGGATCTTGGGCGGGGGGGCGAGGAGGCGTGCTGTCTCTCCGTGTCGCGCGTTGGCGCGTGGGGCACTGTTGCGGATCTTTGGTCCAGAAGGACAGGGAGGAAGGGATGGGGGAGGATGTGGACATTCGGGGGTGGACAGAACCCCCAACAGTGACACGTCGATTAGTGAATTGTCCGTTTTCGGTTCTCGAGAGGGCGCCGTGGCCGTTATTTTCCAGGCTTGCGCCCGCCAGGTTTGGGCCGCAGGTCGTTTTCACTAAACCACGTTTTACTAAAGGGGGGTCTGTCCATCCCCGAGACATGGCCATGGTGGTTTTAGTTTGTAGATGGTGGTTTCTCAGCGCTGGCCAAGGACATCTCCATACTGACGCCGAGGCAGTCCCTGAACTCCTTGGAGTCCATCCTGCCCGACTGGTTTCTCCAGCTGGAGCTGCGCGAGGAGATGTCCGACCCCGTCGATGTCAGAGTGATCCAGAGGTTGTCTACGAATGTCTCAAATGGCACCCTGCGCATTGATTCGTCGTTGAACATCGGAGATACGTTTGTGAGAAACGAGCGCGAACGCTCCGTGCTGAACCCTTCATCCTATCCCCGACTGCTTCTGGACATACTAAGTCTGGCCGTGCTCGCGTACGAAGTAGTGACGATCCCGTATTTCGTCGCATTCGACTTGCCGCAGTCTGGATGGGTCTTGATTCTGTCCTGCCTGTCTGTCGCTTTCTGGACCTCCGATATCATCTTACAGTTCAGAACTGGCTTCTACGAGGACGGAGTGCTACAGATGAAGCCTGCGAGCATCGCCCGCAATTACAGAAGGGGCTCCTTCACGGTGGACATCACAGTGTTGATTCTAGACGTCGGCACACTCCTCCTGAATCATTTGGAGAGCCTCAGGACGAACGTGGATGCTGTCAAGCTTTTGCGGATCGCTAAGGTGGCCCGTTTGTTGCGATTGGTTACCGTCATCCGCATGCACAGACTGCGGGGCATTTCGTCTCGGCTTGCTGCGCACAGTCAGTCGCATGCCCTGATGCTGGGTATTTTCATGTACGACGTGAGTAAGTTTATGCTGCTCATTCTGAGCCTCAACCACTTCATCGCATGTCTTTGGTGCTACATGGGGCGCGACGATTTTTTTGTGTCCGCCTCTGACACCGGGTTTGTCTGGCTGGATTTGGACGGCGGGTCATACGCCAGTTCAGGAAACTTGTACCAGTATCTGGTCGCGCTGCCGAGCGAAACCGCCACCGCGCTTCGGACTGGGCGCCTCGATTGAGGGGGGGGGCGGCTTGGCGGGTAGGGTCGAGGGGGCGGGGTAGAAACACACACACACACACCGAGCCCCACGCACGACACACCACACACCACGCAACACACAACACACACCACACACCACGCAACACACAACACACAACACACACCACACCACACAAACACACAACACACAACACACAACACACATCGCACACCACACAACACTCAACACACACACATAACACACAACACACAACACACACAACACACAACACACACAACATACACACAAAACACACAACACACACAGACACACACGCGCACGCACGCACGCACGCGCGCACGCGCGCACGCACGCACGCACACACGCACCCCCCCCCCCCCACACACACACACACACATACACACGCACTTACGCGCACACGCACACACACACACGCACACGCACGCACGCACGCACGCCCGCCCGCCCGCCCCCCCGTCCGCTTGCGCGCACGCACGCATGCACGCACGCACGCGCGCGCGCACGCGCGCAGCACGCACGCACGCACGCCGCACTCTCGCGCACGCGCACGCGCACGCGCACGCGCACGCGCACGCGCACGCGCACGCGCACGCACACGCGCACGCACATGCCAACGCGCACGCGCACGCGCACGCGCACGCGCTCGCGCACGCACACGCTCACGCACACTCACACGCACACGCTTTCGTTTACGCACACGCACACGCACACGCACACGCACACGCACATGCACACGCACACGCACACGCACACGCTCACGCACACGCCCCCACACGCACACGCACACACACACACACACACACACGCACACGCACACGCTCCGTCACACGCACACGCAAGCGCACACGCACACACGCACACACAAACACACGCACGCACGCACGCACGCAAGCACACGCACACACGCACACACGCACGCACGCACGCACGCACGCACGCACACACGCACACACGCACACACGCACGCACGCACGCACGCACGCACGCACGCACGCACGCACGCACGCACACACACACACACACACGCAAGCACGCACGCACGCACGTACACACACACGCACACACACGCGCACGCACGCACGCACGCACGCACGAACACACGCACGCACGCACGCACGCACCACACACACGCCCACACGCACGCTTTTTCCACAGTGCCAGCTTTTGATTTTTGCGTTGTTTTCAGTCTGGAGGGCAAAGGGCGCAGGGCCTTGGTGCAACAAATGACCCATCTTCGGCTCGATGCGCCGGGTCTTCGCAAGGAACGTGACTCTTCAAGACGCAGGGAGGACTCGACGCACAACGACCGCTGCAAGCGCGGTAGCGGGTACCACAGCTTTGCATTGGGCGGTTACTCAAATGACACCAGGGTCGATGCAAGTTTTTCCCGTGAACACATTGGAGAGAATATTCAACGTAGTGTGTCTTCTCTTCGGGCTTGTGGTATTCTCAACCTTGGTCTCGTCACTCTCTGGGGGCGTGACGCAGTTCAAGCTCCAGATGCAGAGACACAGGGCGAGCATGAAGAAGCTCACACGATTCTTGACGAGGCTTGAGGTGAGTGCCGAACTGCGCATTCAGGTTTGCAAACTGGTGGACGCGAAATTGCAATATCAGCCGCCCCCGAGTATGGAGGACGTGACGCCCATGCTCGACAAGTTGCATGCGCCGCTGCGCAGCGCACTGCAGACGGAGCTGTGCCAGCCACTGTCAGCCCACTATTACTTCTCGTTCCTTGCTCACACTCGCAGTGCTACGTGGGAGGAAGTCTGCCGGGCCTGCACGGACTTCTCCATATTTGGCAAGGGAGATGCGCTCTTTTTTTCAGGCGCTGAGGCGACCGCCATGCATTTCATACTGAGTCCGGGCATGTCCTACACCCTAGACGTCACCTTTACCATCGGCCAGGACACGCCCAAGAAGTTAACCACAATGCTCGAGGTGGACGATTGGCTCTCAGAAGCAGCGCTCTGGTGCACCTGGCGACACACAGGCAAAGCCGAGGTCGTGGAAGGAAGCCCATGTGAGGTGCTGTCTCTAAACGCTGGTAAGGTGCTGACATGCCTTACAAAGGGCACTCTGGTGACACAGATGACGAAAGCGTACGCGCAAAGCTTCTACCATTTCCTCGTGAACTCAAAGCCTCCCCTCTGCGATTGGCCGAACGATCTGGTCCCTTCCTTCGGACCCGATGAGGTCATCGCGGCAATGCCCAAGGAGGCGACGGTTTTCCTCGGGCAGGTGGCGATCGAGGTCCTGAGGAATCCGTCTGAGGGCATGCTAACAAGCTGGCTTCACTCGGTCAGAGTCGACAAGACGGAGCAGCTGATCGACGAGGTGAACTTGGGCAAGAGCACGCTGCTGACGACCACTGGAGGGAGTGTGGTGCGATGCGTGCCGCTGGTGGCGATTCGGCTGACGAGGCTTAAGTCGGGCCTGTCCCTCTACAGGAGGAATATCAAAGAATAATCAAATCATATGAGGACGATTTTAGGTTATTTTTTGACAATCTTTGAATCTTTTCGGACTACATTTGATATCTTCTCCAAAATCCGCCTGGAGGAGGACATGCCCGACCTGAGACGAGGCCCGATGGGCGGCTCTTTGTGCAGCTCCGGCTGGTCAAGGATCAGGAGGGACAAAACACACTGACACAATAAATCGTCGATTCCCCAGAAAATATAGGAAAATATGGGAAGTGGGGGGGCAGACAAGAACCCGGAAAACATGGGAAAATATGGGGAATCCGATTTGTGTCTATTGATTAGCTTTTTCCCAGGGCCCCTTGAAAGGACTCGCGCGGCAGGTTGGAGGCCTCCTGCCGGCTTCCCGGGGGCAAGCAGCAGGCCGGCGAGTACCCTTTGCAGTGCTTCCAGCGCCTCCTGGAGGAACGGATCGCGCCGCTGAAGGTGTTATCGGTATCGTTTATCCCCATCCCCATCCCCATCCCCATCCCCATCCCCATCCCCTTCGAGACCCCCACCGAGTTACCACCCCGGTTGGGGATGCGTGCACCCCTCGAGACCCGAACGGAACGGCCTAATCCCCATCTAGGGGGGTAAACCGGCCAGCGGGGCCCAGGCCACGCCGCTGGGGATGGGGATCGGTTGACATATACTCAGCATGAGGGAGAGGGCCCGCCGCATTAACAAAAATGTATACGCAGGCGCCCGCCAGTAGACGGGAGGATGGCCGTGTGCAGGTCGCCACCGAGAGCCAGCGACCCTCTGCGCCGCCGCCCTCCCTGGAAGGGACAGGCAGGATTCGTCGGCGGGTGTTCGTGCCTATGTACTCCAGATTTCGTGATAAAAGGGAGGGGGTCACAACCCTCCCAGACGAGAAGTTTTAGACCCTCCCAGACCATCCACGAAAGAGCGGCCCTTTGCCCAACCCCCCCCCCGAACCCTCAAGACAGCTCAAATCAGACCCCCCCCCCAAATGTGATCCCCCCCGACTTTATGATGGAATCCGGAGTAGATATTTTCGTGGCGTGGATCAGCAGCCAGGCGAAGGCTGGCAAACCCGTGGCTGCTAAGACGGAGCTCCAGGAAACTGCACTTCTCTTCCGGGGAGCAGCCCTTTGACTATTCGAGTGAGCTGAGTTTTACGCAGGGAGTTTGTTTTTTCTTCGGGGAAGGCCGTTGTAGCAGCCACGGATTTGCCAGCCCTCGCCCAGCTTCCAAAGTGGAGGGGTGCCGAGGGAGCCGTGTCCCGAGCTCCTTCTCCGTCCCCCGGCCTGGGGGGGGGGGGGGGCTCTCAGACCGCCCGGCCGCCCGGCCGTGAGACACCGCGGCTCGCGAGGAGGGGCCGGTCTTGGAGGAATGCCTCCGGGGGGGCCGTGGTTGGGCGACGAACTCTGCATTTCAGTCGGGCCTGTCCCTCTACAGGAGGAATCTGCAAAAACAGCCACAAAATAGTCTGGGGACGATTTTTCGACCATTTTGGATCATTTTCGAATATTTTTCTGGGCTATTTTTTTTTTTTTCCTCCAAGATCTGCCTGTAGGGGGGACATGCCCGACCTAACTCTACACATCTCCACCGCTCCCTGACCAGGCCCATCATGATCCCAGGAACTGTGTATCTAGGCCTCCTCGATGGGGTCGGAGTAGATGGGGTCGGCGATGCATCGGCGACGCGGTTCGATGCGGAGCCCATGTTTCCCAACGCCGACGTCGCCGATGCATCGCCGACGTCGACGATGCCTCCCCGGTGCATCGCCGATGCCTCGCCGGTGCATCGCCGATGCATCGGCGATGCGGCGCGATCTTCCGACCCCATCTACTCGGATCCCATCTAGGAGGCCTCTGGTGTACGCGCCTTCCTGGCCATCCCAGCAGGGCGTGGCGCATGCACCGCGGCTGGGTTCAGGATGGGCCTGGCCAGGGAGCGGTGGAGATGTATGATTTAGGTCGGGCATGTCCCCTTGCAGGCAGATAGTAGCAGCAAAAATCGTCCCTGGACTATTTTGTGACTATTTTTGCGTATTCCTGTAGAGGGACATGCCCGACGTAAGTGCAGAGTTCGTCGCCCTTTGGGGGAAGGGCTGGCCGGGGTCCAGGACCCTTGCCCGGCAGCATCCGCTTCCTTCGTGGCAGCGGATGTCACCGAGCGCGATCCACTACTTGCAAAATGCCCACTCGCAAGCGTCCGAAGAACAACAAAAACATGTCTTGCTGTATGTAGTGGAGCGTAAATCCCCCGCGGCGGATTCAGACCAGTTGCGAGTAGCTACTCTGCGAGTAGTGGAACGCGCTCGTCGAGGAGGAGCAGGCGAAGACCGGTATCAGGCGCATGTTTCCGCGATCGCGGGCGCCTGTCCCAGGGCGGCCGGAACGTTTTCACTTCCACGTGCTGCCGTATGGGTACCCATCGGTCGTTCGAAAGTAGGTACTTCTGGATTCTCATCTTCCAATCTTCTTGAGCACGTTCCTACTTCAATGATCGAGTGTATTCACCTTTTCCGGCCTCCCAAGGGGGCGGACGGAACCCAATCTATTTTCAACCCCTTCCTACTTCATGTTTCCACCTACTTCTTCCGACCGATGGGTATGATTTCTGAACGCTCCGCGTGGCCCCGCCAGCCCATCCAGACACGACTCCCAGCGAGCTGCCCTGAACGGGGGAGAGTAGCATCCTTTGGAGATCTCGGGGACCTTTGTGGGCGAGAGGCCCCTTGCATGCTTCCGTGTGTCTCTTGGGGGCAGCTTGGATTCACCTTGGGGCGTCTTCGGGGCCTTTGGTGGCTCCTCGGGGCTTCGGGGCGTCTCTTGGGCCTCTTGGGGGTTTCGTGGGGCCTTTGCGTGGGCTTTTTTGAAGCCTCTTGGGCTCCTCCTGGGGGCCTTCTTGGGGGCTTTTCTGGCCATCCTGGGGCCATCTTGGAGGCGATCGATCCAGCCTCGATTAGCCTCACCCGCGGCCCCCTCCGCCCAGACGGGAAAATGGGACCGAAACGTAGGACAAATACTGGTTTTTGGCCTTCTCGCTGATGCCATTTCGGTCGCTCTGACCGCTCGCCCGTCCAGACCCAGGGGTAGGGGGTAGGGGGAGGATAACCCTCCCCGATTTGGAATAAGGGGGGGAGCTGGAAGAGGAACTGCTCTGAACCACCTCCGCCCACGGGGGCTGGTGGGATCTCTCGGCCGCCCTGGGGCCGGCACGCCTCATCGCGGAGCGGCCTCTGCTCTGCCGCTCTCCTCGCCCGCTCGAGCGCCAGGGGGGCCTGCGGCTCGTCGAGGCCTTCCGCGAGACGGAGTGCGAGAAGTCGCAGCGCTACGGCGTCCCGACCAGGTACATCCGCACCGTGGTCGAGGCGCGCTGGAGCGAGGCGGCGGACGAGGCCCTCGGCCGCTTCGTGGTGGCCCAGCGGCGCGAGTCCAACGCGTCCAGCGGCTCGGACGGCTCCTGCGAGAGCGCGGGGAGCCCGCGGGCGAAGTGGCGGCCCCGCACGCAGGCCCGGCGGCGCGCACGCGCGCTCCAAGAGGGGCGGCGCGCGCGGGGCGGCTCTTCCAAGACGGCGGGGCGGGGGGGGGCTCCTCCTCCTCCCCTCCTCCTCCTCCTCCTCCTCCTCCTCCTGCTCCTCCTCCTCCTCCTGCTCCTCCTCTTCCTCCTCAGAGGGCACGGGGCCTTCTCAGAAGCCCTCCCGGCCTCCAAGACGCCCCCTCGGGCCGCTCGCCCCCGAGCGGGGTGGCGAGCACACCGTGTGGTGAGCCTGAGGGGATTCGGGGTCACCGCACGGTTTTGGGGCTCGGGTCGTTCTCCGAGGACGTCTCGGGCGACTGGGGCAGCCGAGGCCCCGAACACCGTGCGCTGACGCAGCCGTGCGGTGAGGCCCTGGGGGATTCCGAGGGCACCCCACGGCCTGCCACCGCACCGCCTCGGGACTCCGAGAAGAGGCCCTCCTGCGAGCCGGGAGGGCCTCTGAGGAGACCCCCCCCCGCCTTATTGGGAGCCCTCCCCCCCCCCGCCGTCTCAGAAGGCTGCTTCCCTCGCGCCGGCCCCTCTGCGCGCGCCGCGTGCAGGTGTTCAGGTTCGCGGACGAGGACCTCTTCGCGTGGCTCGCCCCCGAGGACTTTCAGTGCTTCCAGAGCCCCTGCGGCCAAGGCGAGTTCTTCCAGTGGCTCAAGTCGCACGCCCACGCCCGCGGCAACCTCCACCACAGGACGAACGATTCCCTGCCTTCCCTGATGGTCGCACCAGGACCAGAAGCAGAAGGAGACGGAGGAGGAGGAGGCGGAGGAGGATGAGGAGGACCAGTGTCAACCCAAGACTCATCAACGATATTGGAAAAAGACCCTCCCTCCAAGCTCCCTCTTCATGGGCCCCTGCAAGGATTCATTTCCACTGAGGGCAGTGCCCCGTTGGGAGGCAGCCGCTTGAAGATCCTGGAACGTACCAAAACACCATTCTCGGGACTCCAAAGCCACGAATCAAGCATGACTGTTGCGTTTGACGATCCTGAGTCGTGCCAGAACACCGTTCCTGGGACGTCACCAACGCGAATCAACGTAGCTGTTGCGCCTTGACAGTCCTGTTTCCTTCCAAAACGCCATTACCTTGTACGCTAGCCAAGGGGACCTGTGAAACCCTTGCACATCTTTAGGACGAGTGTGCGCAGCGCGAACGCGAGAGCCTCATTTTGAACAGGAGCCGCCCTCACCCGCGAAATCTTGCAAAATTTTAAGACGACTGACTGTGCGCGGCGCGAAAGCGAGAACAACATTTTGAAAACGACCCGCCCTCAATCCGTGGAACTCTTTGCAAACATTGAAAACGAATGTGCACGGCGCTAAGGCGAGAGCCACATTTTGAAAACGATTCGCCCTCAATCCGTGAATCTCTTGCAAATTTTAGAGCGAATCTGCGCGGCGCTAAGGCGAGAGCCACATTAAGACAACCACCCGCCCTCAGTCCGTGAAGCTCTCGCAAATTCTTAAGACATGTGCACGGCGCTGGGGTGAGAGCCACATTTGGAAAACGACCCGCCCTACATCAGTGAACCTGTCGTAAATTGTGAGCTTCGGCATCATGTATGGTAAGGAAGTCTCAGGCGACACGCCTGTCCCGCCCTTCCGACTAGCCTCGGGGTGCGACAGGGAGGAGTTATTCATAGGGAAAGCAAATGGATACGGAAAAGGATAAGGAGGAGGATGATGATGATGAGGAGGAGGAGGAGGAGGAGGAGGAGCAGGAGGAGGAGGAGGAGGAGGAGGAGGAGAGGAGGAGGAGAAGGAGGAGATGGAGGAGGAGGTGCAAGAGGAGAGGGAGGAGGGGGAAGGAGGACGAGGATAGAGGACATGTACTTGCACTCTCTGCAGGTCCACGCTCCCGTGGAGCCCGCCGACGACGAGGACGAAGAAGAACAACAGCAAGAGAAAGAAGAAGACGAGAGCCCGCCCGGACAGTGAGATCGCCAGCAGACATGACATCGGAAGCCTTGAGACGGGGGTCGATGCAAACGGGGGTCAGCCAGGGCACTTGATCCTGCAGGATCCTGCGACGACCCCCTCTGGCTGACCCGTGTTAGCGAATCCCTGCGTTGCAGCTTTGTTCTCCTGCATTGCAGTTTTTTTGGTTTCCTGCTGACCCGGGTCTGATTGGCCCGGGTTAGCAGACCCCCGAAGACACTCCTCGTCTCTTGCGGCGCGCAAGCGGGGCTGGGGCGGAGGGGGGCGGCCTCCTAAGACGGCGTCCAAGGCGGCCCAGAGGCTCTCAGAACGGCCTCTTGCAGGAGGGGCTCCTCTCTGATACGGATGCTTTCCCAGGTGTGCAGCCTGTTTCGCTCAGTCTGGAGCCGCCACCCCCGTCGGGATCGGATCCTCGATCCGAAAAGCCGGGGAGAGGAGAGTGAGGGTGCGAGCACGCAGTGAAGTGCGGGCTGACGGCCCCGCCTGCGCCAGAACCCGAGACACTCACCGCAGCTTCGTGCCGCGTCGATGCGGCGGCGACCCTGGCGCGGGTGCTCAGTGTGAACGCCGCCGGTGGCCCAGACTCGGCCAATAGGGAACGATCTGGCGATCGAAGAGCGGCCGATCATTCGAGCAAGCGATCGGCGCGGTGTCAGGACCCAACGCCGGCGCGAACCGCCCGCAGCCCCCTGCCTCCTTGAAGGGCCGCCGGTCCGCCACCCTCGCCTCCCAGCTCGGCGCGCACCGCCGGCGCCCGCTGCGGCGGGAGCAGCCGCAGGTATCCCCGAAGGACCGGATATCTCAGCTCAGATCCGACGCTTCAACAGAAATTAGAGCGGCCGGATTTTGACCGTTTTCGGCCTCCGGGGGCCTTTGCCGGGCTTTGGAGCGTCAACAAAAACGACTGAAAAACCGTTCCCGGGGAAGTGGTCCGGACCTCTGGGGTCCACGCCCCAAAAAATTTGGAGCAGCTGGATGTCTGTGTCCTTTCCGATCGCCTTGCGAGGATGAGGTCAGATGTGTTGTTTGCCAGCTTTGATCCCGAGACAATGTTTGTGCGCGGGTGTTTTCTCATCGCTGCGCCTCGCGTGCTGCTTCGGATTGGCACTGTCGCGCTGCTTTCCCCTCCGCTCCATGGTGCTTCTCATACTTGTCGTCCTCTCTCCTCCTCCTCCTCCTCCTCCTCCTCCTCCTCCTCCTCCTCCTTCGTTCCGCTGCTGCTCCGAATTTTTCCTTCGCCCCTCACATCCTGCTCCTCCTCCTCCTCCTCCTCCTCCTCCTTTTTACCCTCTTTCCCTCGACTGCCCCCTCACGGCTGCCCCCCCCCGTGAGCGCCGCTGTCGATCCCCCTGTGGGTGGAGCCAGCTTCTCCTCGGTGCGGGAGCTGGACCGGCACGCGCACACGGTTGGCCTGTCCTTCACGCCGCGCCGCCGCGCCCGTGGCCGCGACTTCGAAGAAGTGGTTTGCCAGCGTGGGCTCCAGACGAAGAGCTCCGGCCCTCCGGGCGTGCAACTGGCGGGCCTGGGGGCCTGAGGTTTTCTTTCTGTCCCTACCCGTTTTGCATGTGGGGCAATTCGCCACGCCGTAGCCCAGGTTGCTCGACGCGCGAGCGGATCGCTTCTGCGGCGCCGCGACGGAAAAAGCGGCTTCCGTTCAAGCTTAGGCTGACTGAGCGGATTGACAGTCGGCCGTCGGCTAGTGTTGCCCACACAATTTTGGCGTTCGCGGCCCCGCGCGCGGCGACGAGGCGAAACAAAAACGCCCCACACACAGGCGGCGCTAGGACGCGCGTCGCAGGGCGCACAAGCAACAGGCCGCGTTTGAACGCGTGCAAGCGCAACATCCGCGCGGGCTCGCCCATGCATTCCAGAGATCCAAACACATGCTAATATCCTCACAGCGCCCCAATGCACAGAGAATGCCCTGGTTGCCACGAGGAGAAGGAGCGCGACCAACCCGCGAGCGCACGAGTTCGTGCAGTTTCGCGGGCCCGCACAGGCGGCCGCGCCCACGCGCTGGCCAGCAGTGTCAAGCGCCAACACGACCTGGAGGTCCGCGCCACTCCAGCGATCACCAAGGTCAACTACACGGCGGACCGACCTGGGAGCAGCAGACGAAATTGCATTACCACTGGCACCCGCAGAAACCCCAGGAACCAGCTCATCATTGTCTATCGCTGGGTCTCAGGGTAGCGGTTCCCGCGGATACGTCGTTGGAACGTAGAGTCCTGGTTCTGGTGATTGTGTTGCCATGCCAAGGTTACGAGCCAGCCTGGAGACAGGGAGTGTGCCAAGATGACCCCCACGACGAGCTGCCGACGAAGCGGTCGGCAACCCGACCCCTCCGACTGGATTTGTTTTGACATCGCCGCGTCAGTGCGAGCATTACGTGGCGACTCCGCACAAGACACGCATGCGGGAGCTACGCGAGCTGCACCTTCTGTGGTGGCGCGCCATTAAGGAGGAAATGGCACGCTCTACGAGCAGCCAACATGCCGCAGGCAATGTCGACTTCATCCCAAGTGGTCATACATTCCAGGGAATGATGTAGATGGGTACCACCAGCACACCATTCTTTTCCTTCGCTGCATTTTTCACGATTCTGCCAGCACGTCGAATGTGACATCCTGTACTACAAGGATCGCATGATCCTGCGCCTGATCTGCTGCGCGCCGCTGTGGCACAACTGCCAGGATATCACGGGCAATCTCGACTCGACGCTGCTGGCGGCCATCATCCGTTCGTGGATGCAGCTGTTCGGTGCGATGGGGGCCTTCATCGTGGACGTCGACAGCGGCGTAGCCCTTGCGCACTTTCTGGAGGTCTTGAGGAGGCGAGGGGTGCATATTGACATCCGAGCTCCGCGCCGGCACGCTCGTTTCATCGAGCGACGTGGTGCCGTCTTTCGACGTGCATTTCGCACCGCAGAGGAGCAGCTGAAACGCGGAGGCGACACAGCCAACTTCGACTCTATGCTGGCTCGCGGGACTTCGCGCGCAACAGCCTCGCCCGCGTTGGCGGCGTTGCACCGTGTAACGTCGTCTTCGGCAGGCAGCCCTCCATGCTGCCGCCGCTTGAAGCAGGCGAATCGGATGAGGTATCTGGCGTCTATGATGCTGGTGCCAGCCCCGCCTCTTGGTGGAGAGGTACAGCCTGGCCGACTGCAACGTGCGTTCGTGGCTACTTCCGTTTCCCGCGTCAACCGCGGTCTCTGTCGGACGCTTCAACGTTGGCGACCGGGTGGGGATCCACCAGCTTCCGAGCGCGAAAGACGTGTCGGGCTTGGCGGGGCCTGGTGCGATAATTTCCGTGGACCCGGCTAGAGGCAAAGTTGCTGTCAAGTGCTGCCAAGCCGACCGAGATGTTCTGCAGATTGCAGGGCGCGTGGGCCTTCGTCGTTGCGGTCTTCGGCGACATGGGCACCGGCATGGCGCGAGCAGGTCCGGCCTGGGATCGCGTGGGGGACTATTTGGAGTGCGTTGCGCCGGGCCCCTGGGGCCAGGACTTTCGGCAACTGGCAGGGCGCGAAGGGCGTGCTGCTTACCGAGCAGGCGCAGCGACGCCCCGGCATCCTAGAGGCTCTGCGCCGCCTGTCCCGCAGATCCTCCCAGCTGCCTGGCGTTCGTGCACTGCGTCTCGTGCGCGGCCAGAAATCTGCGGGCGACTGGGCCGCGCCTGCAGCCGGGTCATCTGGTGGGCCCCAATCGGGGCCCGAACGACGTCCAGCAGCTGCGCCTGGGCGGCGTCGAGTTCGACGCCCGCCGCGGAAAAGGTGTCGCGCCATGCAGTTTGTGTTGGGTGACGAATTGCTGCTTGTAGCTGGGGCCGGGCAGGGCCCAGATGGGGCGCTCGATGGCCGTGTCGTTGACGTCCCCGAGGACCTCGCCAGCGTAGCCAAGGGTGGTTCATCATCGGAGAGCGCCGACAGTCGGCGCTTGATTTCAACTGGCTGCGGCCAGCCTTGGCCGCGTGCCGCGCGAGTGGCCCCAGCGCCTCTCGGCGCGGCGCCGGCGTCGGAGCATGCGCGCAGAGCCAGTTCTACCAGCGCGGCGCCTCCGTGGACGACGGCGCCGCGCTCGTGGAGGAGGGTGGGGGGGGGTGGCGCGTCGAGTTGTGCCTGGGCCCACGGGCGCGCGAGGCATTTCTGAGCTGTGACGAGGAACCGTCTCGAAACTGTGTTGCTGGCGCTTCCGCGACAGCCCTGCAAAAATTCAACGCCGTCGCCTGGGCCGCGGTGATCGCGCGCGGCGCCGACCTCCTGGCCAAAGAGTGAGCGTCGAAGTTTTCCTGGGGAAGTCGCTGCGGCTTCCTGGAGGAGCTTGCCTTTGGGTCAAGTATTGGAGAGGCGCCCTCTCAGAAGCCCCCGGGACGTCGTGGACTCCAGACGTGTTTTCAAATGGTTGCGCCGGAAGAATTCAGACGGCTAGACCGTCGGGGCAGTCCGGTGCTGCGCGGCGTTGAGAGGCCCTCGAGACTTTCGCCGGGGCGGCGAAGCGCGCGTCGCAGCGCGTGCTGTCCGCAGAGGCGGCGCGTCGCCCGTCCTGGATGGCGCGTCGAGAAGGCGTTCCTGCTGGGCGCGACCTGCGCCGAGATGCAGGATCGAGTTGGAGCGCCCCGCGAGGTGAACTTCGCCCTGCCGCCTGGCCGTGCCGCCGTCCCTGGCTGGGTGCCAGGCTGCGAGTCCTTCGGCGAGCGGACTGAGTGCCCGTGCAGCGAGCCGTGCGTGGGATGCGAGGGTTCGCCCAGGGCTTTCTCCATGAAGCCCCCCCCAGCCCCCCCAGGTCACGTGCGCCAGGCGCGGCGCCATGCCGACGAGGTGGGAGCCGGAGCTCGACGTCGCGCGCGAGATGTCTGGTGCCCGTGGCTCCAGCGGCTCGGAGCTAGTGCTCGCGCTGTCCAAGAGCTCTAGCGTTGGCGATCTGAATATCGTGGGACGCATGGAGCACGATGACGAAGGAGCACGAGAGCGTCTTCGGCATAATGAGAGGGGGCTACGGCGATTTCAGCAAATGCGGAGTGCACCACCGCGGCGCCGATAGGACAGAGGCGCTCGAACAGGATTAGTACATCGACGCCCTGATCCCCATCGGGCACGTCGGCCTGGCCAGGGCGAAGGCCGGCGAGCCGGCAGGAGGTCAGCTTCCAGACCTTTCTGTGTCTCTCTTGGGAGCGGCAGCATGTGCTCTGCGCAGCGACGTCTCGCCGTGGGCGTCATCGCACTGCGGGGGCCCGAGGGCAAGTTGCTCGTCCGTCATGTGATGCAGCCCAACTCTGTAGTTCATGGCCATGCAAAAGATCAAGGTGCGCATCGCACTCCCAGATGTGGAGTTTGATGGGCGACTTTGCGTGCGCGGCGACGGGTCGTTCAGGCGGGGGGGAAGATGGTGACGGCGTGGGGTTGCTGTGTGCATGCGTCAGGGCAAGTGCCGCAGTATTGGCAAACAGGTATGCCACTTGCTCAGCGCCGTGAGCCGATCGCTCAAGCTGGTCTGCCGATCGTCGTGTGGCTAAGAGCTGCTCGCAGCCTGCGTTGCAGCTGACGGCCTGCAAGCGTGCCTCCTGAAGCTTTATGAGATGGTGAGTGGACCTTCCTCAGCCAATGAGATCAGGAGGCCGGGGGGGAAGGTGGCTGCGCGGCGCCAGTCGACTTGGCGGTCGACGGCGCGACGTTCATCGGAGAACAGCGTGGCCGGATATCGCTGGTGGCTGTTCGATCAGCCTCGCACCGAGCAGATCGACAACGTGCTGTGGTGCGACGCCAGAGAGATGAGAGCCGATCCCGTGGCAGAAGAGCGTCGGAAGAGATCTCTTCCTCGACGTCGTGGACGGCGAGCTCAGCCGCGACGATGCGACCTCGGAGCGATCGGGCTGAGCGAGGAGAAGCATGAGAAAACCGTACCGAGCTCGCAACGCAGTGCTCTCGCCATCAAGGAGAAGGGCGACTCGAATGATCGAGCCGTCAGGCGCCGGCATCTCTCGGACTGTATCCGCGAATGCGGCGTCCGACTGTTCAGTGGATTTATAGGGCTGGGTGAGGCGTCGTACGTCATCTTATGTTTACAATTTGTGCTTGAAGTGCGTTCGACAGCTCCGGGGCATCCGCCGACGACGCACCAGATCAGCGCGTCGCTTAGCATTGCGGGCAATTCTGACAGAGAGGGAAGAGGGTGGTAGAGCACGCAGTTGAGAGGCTGCTGCCACTAGCTATGGCTGTCGAGTGGTAAACGTGTTAGGAATCTAGCATGCTAGGTGAGTGCTGCTTCAATCAGCTATGTTGATGGACTGGCACTTCCCATGAAGGCTTTGCTCCGTCAGATCGTCCACCGTCTGCTAATTATTTGTGAAGAGGGGTGGCTAGTAGAACCCCCTGCTCTGTTCTTGTGCTTGCCAGGAACTGTTTAGTACAATCGTTATGTTGTCTTTCGGGTGTGTTCAGGGTGGTGTGCGCTTTGGATGCCACCGAGGCACGGCGGATTTGCTTGAGCACCAGACTCCGAGTGGGAGGTTTTATGCTATGCTGGGTGCGGGAAGGGTTTTCCGTCATTATTTTAGGTAGATTTTCCATGCCCGCCGCATTCGCGCCCAATACAAACGGCCTTATTTCGTTGATTGAAAAAATACCACATTCCATCCTGATCCTCTGCCTTTCGTTTCCTCTTCGTCCCCTTCCTCTCCCCCGTCTTCCTGCACCCCCTGGCAATTTGTTTTCTCGTTGCTTGTGGATGATAATTCGAGTTGTTCATGATTTCGGCGTTTGGTCGATTCCGCGCTAGATTTTCTGGTTGCCCTCCAGGGGGCCTGCTCCAGCACTGTGTCTGGCATGCAAACCTCAGGATGCAATTCTTGGGAGGTTGAATTCAGCGTCGGCGCTGGCATATCCGCGGTCGACACACAGCCACATCCGGCGTAATCCCATTTGATTCTGCATCATCCAGTGTAATTCGTCTTACTTGGGCCTAATCCCAGGCTTAATCGTGGGTTTAGTTTTTGTTAGTGCGGCTTATTCCCCCCAGTCGGGCTTTGTGGCCTTCAGTACTTTTAACGAAGACCTCCCAGGAGTTGGCTCCTAACAAACCGCGTTGCCTTGCCTGTTTCGTCATCCTAAACGGTGCGGCGAAATCTTTTAATGCATGGTACAGAGCTGGCCTGGTCTGGGTGGCCGGCCGCTCCTGACCCTGACAGCTCGCCGTCGTTGAGGCCGCTGTCCGTGCGCTGCTCGCCTCCTCCTTGTCTAGGGTTGCTGCATCGAGGAAGCGAGTTCCGAGGGAACCGGATCGTGAAACTCCCCGCTGATGTCTGGCCGGCCTCCCCCCCTGGGCTTCAGGACCGCCGAAAACCGCCTCCGGACGAAGCGCTGGTCCTCGGGGAGAGCCTCCGGGGCGGGGCCCAGGACCCGCGTCCGTCGGGATCGATTCTTCTCATGCGAGGCAGGGTGCGTTGTCTGTGCGGAGCGGGCGCTGCCTGGTGGATTTGCGGTTCTGTCGCCAGTTTCCGTCCGTGTATCGCAGATCCGTTCCGTTTTTACTTCTGTCTTCACTGCGGTCCCCTCTCGAATTCCCTGGGGGTCCAGCGCCGATCCAAGAGAAATCCGCACGGGCCTTTTGCTGAAAGGCATCCGCCCCGAAGACGTCCAGGGCGACAGGAGCAAAGGGGGCGAGGAAGGCATGGAAGCGAGGCGTGAGTGGAGCCGAGGGGGGGGAAGGGTGCGAGGGGAGGACAAGGAGGAGGAGGAGGAGGAGGAGGAGGAGGAGGAGGAGGAGGAGGAGGAGGAGGAGGAGGAGGAGGCGGAGGAGGAGGAGGAGGAGGAGGAGGAGGAGGAGGAGGAAGAGGAGGCGAGGAGGAGGAGGAGGAGGAGGAGGAGGAGGAGGAGAAAGAAGAGGAGGAGGAAGAGGTGGAGGAGGCGGGAGGAGGCGGAGAGGAGGAGGAGGAGGAGGACGAGCAGGAGGAGGAGAAGTAGGAGGAGGATGAGGCGGAGGAGGAGGAGGGAGGAGGAGGAGGGAGGAGGAGGAGGAGGAGGAGGAGGAGGAGGAGGAGGAGGAGGAGGAGGAGGAGGAGGAGGAGGGGGAGGAGAGGGTGGGGAGATGGCTAGGGGGTTGGGGGGCGAGAGAGGAGAGGGGCGAGGGAGGAGGTGGGCGAGGTACGAGGGGTTTGGGGGACATTTCTCTTCGTGAGGCCATGACGGGCGATGCGCTGTTGGCGTCCAGAGTGGGCGGGACCAATTTCCCCTTCTCCCCTCCTCCTTCCTCCTTTCACCACGGCGTGGTTAGCAGCGAATTCCAGCGAGCGCCATTGCCCTTTTTCCTCCTTTCTTTCCCCTCCTCATCCCCTCCTCCTCCTCCTCCTCCTCCTCCTCCTCCTCTGTGCCCTCGTCTCCTCCTTTTTTACTTCCCTCCTCCTCCTCCTCCTCCTCCTCCTCCTCCTCCTCCTCCTCCTCCCCGTCCCTCCTCTTCCTGCTGGACCCCTCCCCGTCTCTTTTCCCGCTTGCCGGTGCTGCCTTTCTGTCCTCTGCCGATCGCGCCTGCTGCTCCGTGTGGCTCGCCAGGTGCCCCCGAGACGGGCCACGCAGTTCCCGCCCGCCCATTTCAGCCGTGCGATTGTGCGTTTGCGCGCGGGTTGCGCGGCGTTTTCCGATTCTCGTGCCTTCATGGTTGTCATGATCAGCATCGTCGCCGTCCTCCTCGCCCGCAGCAGATTTGGCTCGAGTAGGGGCTCGAGGGCGGAGGGCCGCGATCCTCGACGCTCCGCGCATCCCCGCTGGTCCATCCAGGACATACTCTCGGACGAGCTGTCCCGCGAGGGGCCGCGACCGAGAGACGAGCACCCCGAAAGGACGGCCCACTTGGTGTCCGCTGGGGTCCTCCTTTGGGCCTTCCTGGGGTTACTTGGGGCCATCTTGGGGGGCTCTTGCGGCCATCCTGGGGCCACCCTCTGGGCCATCGGCGAAGAGAATCGGGGGGCCAGAATCAGCTCCGCCGTGTGGAGGCCAACCATCTCGCGTCCTGCAGTCCCTTGGGGCCTCTCTTGGAGTGCTCTTTGGGTGTCCTCCAGGATAGCAATGACATTGACATTATTATTCTTGATATTATTTGTTATGTATTCTTATCATTGCTAGTATTATTCCCCACATGTTTCGTGGGGTTCTGGTTTTCTTCCCTGCCGCGCCGCACCCGCGACACTCGCCCTCACACCTCACTCTCCGTCTCTCTCTCACACACCTCACTCTTCCCCTCCTCCTCACAGCACTACTCAGCACAGCTCAGCTCAGCTCAGCTCAGCACGGCACAGCTGAGCACAGCTCAGCTCAGCACAGCACAGCACAGCACAGCACAGCACGACACAGCACAGCACAGCTCACCGCACAGCAGCACAGCATATCACAGCACAGCACAGCACAGCATAGCACACAGGACATTCCTTCGACGCCACAGGGGGTGCGCTGGGGGTGGGGGCCCTATGCGTTGCAGGCTCCCAGGGCGTGGCAGGCGTGGCATTCCCTCGACGCCGCAGGGGGTGCGCTGGGGGTGGGGGCCCTATGCGCTCGCAGGGCGTGGCAGGCGTGGCTTTTCCTCGACGCCGCAGGGGGTGCGCTGGGGGTGGGGGCCCTATGCGTTGCAGGCTCCCAGGGCGTGGCAGGCGTGGCATTTCCTGGGCGCCACAGGGGGTACGCTGGGGGTGGGGGCCCTATGCTTTGCAGGCTCCCAGGGCGTGGCAGGCGTGGCACTTCCTCGACGCCACAGGGGGTGCGCTGGGGGTGGGGGCCCTATGCGTTGCAGGCTCCCAGGGCGTGGCAGGCGTGGCATTTCCTCGACGCCGCAGGGGATGCGCTGGGGGTGGGGGCCCTATGCGTTGCAGGCTCCCAGGGCGTGGCAGGCGTGGCATTTCCTCGACGCCACACCGGGTGCGCTGGGGGCGGGGGCCCCATGCGTTGCAGGCTCCCAGGGCGTGGCAGGCGTGGCATTTCCTTGACGCCACAGGTGGTGCGCTGGGGGTGGGGGCCCTATGCGTTGCAGGCTCCCAGGGCGTGGCAGGCGTGGCATTTCCTGGACGCCACAGGGGGTGCGCTGGGAGGCAGGACTGGCTTCCTCTGGGCACACACCCAGGTTTGGTTCCCTGGGGTCAGTCAGCCCAGCGACGTGGGCCTGGGGACCTAGGTCAGCTCACCAACGTTGGCCTGGGTTCCCAGGTTCACCCAGGCAGGTGAACCTGGGTTTCCGAGGTTCACCCAGCAAGGTGGCGCTGAGTTTCCTAGGCGCACCCAGGGAAGTAGGAGTGGGTTTCCATGGTCCACCCAGCCATATGGCGCTGAGTTTCCTAGGTGCACCCAGGCAGGTCTGGGTTTCCTCGCACGCGAAATGTGAAAGCGGCTGTCCTGCGGCGTTTCGGTGCTGAAATTTGCTGTTTGCGGCGTTCCAAGGCCGTTCGGGGGCGCCTGGGAGACATTTCTGAAGCCTTGTAGGGCCTCTTTTGAGCCTCCTTGGAGCCTCCTGGGGTCTCTTGGGGGCCTCGTGGCGGCATCTTGGGCCATCTTGGGGGCCCCTCGGGGCCTCCTGGGGCCCTCTTGGGGCGGAAGGCTTGAGGTTTCGGTTCATGGTCCCCATCTTGGGCCCCTCTTGGGGCCGTCTTGGGGCTCTCTTGGGCCGTCTTGGGCGTCTCTTGGGCCGTCTCGGGGCCCGTTTGGGCTTTCTGGGGGCCTTCTTGGGGGCCTCTTGAGCCGTCTTCGTGCGCTCTTGGGGGCCTCTTGGGCCGTCTGGGAGCATCGGAAAGCCGAAAATGCGACAAGGCCAACGTCCTTCCAAAACCCTCGTAAAATTTATGATTTTGGCCTCTCGGGGCGCTCTTGTGCTGATGATGATGGTACTGCTGATTATGATGATTATGGTGATGCTGATGGTGATGATGATGATGCTGATGCTGATGCTGATGCTGATGGTGATGATGATGATGATGATGATGATGATGATGCTGATGCTGATGCTGCTGAGGATGATGGTGCTGATGATGGAGTTGGTGATGGTGATGGTGATGGTGCTGGTGGTTGTGAGGGTGATGATGCTGCTAATGATGCTTATGATGTTGCTGCTGAGGATGCTGATGATGACTATGATGATGCTTATGATGATGCTGCTGATGATGCTGATGATGACAATGATGATGGTGCTGATGACGCTGATGGTGATGATGCTGATTATGGTGATGCTGCTGCTGCTGATGATGATGATGTTGATGGTGGTGATGATGATGACGATGCTGATGCCGATGGATGATGATGCTGATGATGATGCTGATGCTGCTGCTGATGATGATGATGATGATGATGATGATGATGATTTTGGAGAAGGGAGGAGGGGGAGAACGGGAGGAGTGAGGAGTGAGGAGGAGTGATAAGTGAGGAGTAAGGAGTGGGACGCGGGGCTGTCTCTTCAAAGCGAAGACCCAACACCACAGGGTGTGTGCGAACAAGCGTTTCACCTGAGACTTCCTCACACAACGGGGATGTTGAAATCGCTGATTCGTCGGAACCTCACAATGGCAGTTTCGCCTGGGACATCCGCGAAACATTGGAATGCGTACAGAGCTGTGTCGAAACATCTTTTCGGAGTGCTCTTAGATGACCTCCAAGATGGCCCAGAAAGCGGCATTATTGGAAAAACACATTATGTTGTTAATACTTGTGGTTCAACGGTAATCGTCTCGCTCGAAACAGCTCCTCAAACATGCCTTCGGACGAGTCCTCGAAGCCATCATATCGTGATGCGGATGCCCGTGGTGACGACGATGATGACGGTGGTGATGATGATGCTGATGATTAGGATAATGCGAATGATGATGTGGCTGATGGTGATGATGCTGATGCTGATGGTGAGGATGAAGAAGAGTCTGATGATAATGATGACGATGTTGACGATGATGATGCTGTTGTTGTTGATGATGATGATGCTACTGATGCTGATGCTACTGATGCTGATGATGCCGATGATAATGCTGATGATGATGCTGATGACGACTACGATGATGTTGCTGATTATTGCTATGGTTATGATTGTGCTAATACCGCTAATGTAGCGACGCCGATGTTTTCGATGATGTTGACGCCGATGATGGTGCTGATCATCAGGATTGTGATTAGGATGGTGATGGATGTGACGGTGATCTTGCTTGTGATTATGGTGCTGGTGATGATGGTGAAGGTGATTTCATGGGGTGCTGGTGATCGTGACGATGCTGGTGGTAAAGTTGTTGGCGAAAGTGAGGGGGAGACGGAGAAAACTGGATGTGTGCAGAGGAGTCAGAGGATTGTCCGAAACATGAGATTTCAGGGAGCGCGTGCCCGTAGGTATCCGTTGTGGACGTTCGGAGAGCTCGCGTACATTTTGTTTGGTCGTGATGTAAGTGTACGTTCTTGCGCGACTCATCGCTTTTACGCGCTGCCCGCTGATGCCAGGACAGGTTCTGGGAAAAGGCCGTTTCGCTCGAAACATCCTAGAACAATCAGCTCTGGAGTGGACTCTGAACCGGCGTTATCTTTAGAACCGCTCCCAGAGTGCGTCAAAGCGACCCAAGAGAGCTCCCGAAAGCTCCCCCTCCAGGGGACCCCGAGAGCGCCCCGAGGGGCCCCCAAGAGGCCCCCAGAGGCCCCCAGGAGCCCCAAGTCGGCCCGAGACTGCCCAAGATGGCGCCAGGATGGCTTGAGAGAGCCCGCACAGAACCCTAAGACATGCTTAGACAGACCAAGAAGACCCCAGTAGCCCCCAAGAGGACCCCGACAGGTCCCGAAGAGGACGAAAGGATGCCCCAAGATAGCCCCCAGCCCCCAGGGTAGCCTCAACAGATCACGAGGACCCTTCTCTTCTTCGACGTCCTTTTCGTCGGGCTCCTTACCGTCCTTCTTCGTCGTCCTCGTCGTCGTCTTTCTGCTTCTCCTTCTTCTTCGGCTTCTTCTTCTTCTCCTCCTCCTCCGCTTCGTTCCTCGGGCTCGTCCTCGTCCATCTCTTCCTCCTTGTCCTCGTGTTTGTCTTCCTATTCGTTGTCCTTCTGTTCCCTTCGCTGCCCTCCCCGTCATCCACGCTGCCATCCTCGGCATCCGCCGCCTTGTCGTTGCCATTATCCTTTCCTCTTTGTCCCCCACGAGCCCAATGGACAAAATCGGCGCTTCCCGTTCTTGTCCGATCCGGTTTCCATACTCGGAGTTTCTTAATAAGCTTCGGGGTGGCGTCACCCCCGCCGACAGCCCCACATCGATCCCCGTCGCGGGCAGCCACCGCGCGCCGAAGGTGCTTCGACCCCCGTCACGGCGCGACGGAGGTTGACCCCCGTCGGGGGGTACCCCCCCACTCTTATTAAGAAGCCCAGGGTAATTCTTTATCTTGAGCCGTCTTGGGGCCGGCTGGGGACCTCTTGGAGACATGTCTGAGGCCTTCGTGGTCCAACCTGGGTCGTCTTGCGCCGTCTTGGAGATGATGCTCGGCTATCAGGGGCCATTTGTAACCATCTATGTGGGGTCATCTTGGACGATTCATCTGCTCGCGGAACCTTGGTCCAGCCCCCTGGGGGCAGGGCTAACCCCCTTCCCGAGGAGGAGGAAGGGGTTTTGGAAAAGCTGAACCCTAAACCACCTACGCCCAGAGGGCTGGTGGGATTTTTCGTGCGATGCCCGCCTCGCTTTGGAACGCGGCATGGAGATCCAAGCAGGTGCCAGTGGAGATGAAGCTGAGCAAGATGAGGACGAGCGCTTCTACACCGAGCATCGGGACGAGCTCCTCTCGGCCCTCAGAGGCGGATGCGGCTTCAGCGGTGGCGAGATGTTCAACCGCCTGGAGCAGCGTGGCGATGGAGGCGTGGGCATCGCCAACCAGGGGGCCACGTGCTACATGAACTCGCTTCTTCAGGTGCTGTTCCACACCCCAGACTTCCGCTCCGCCATTTACAGCTTCAGCCACGACGCCGCGAGGCACGGCGACGAGGCCCGCTGCATCCCGCTGCAGCTTCAGCGCCTGTTCGCCCGGATGCAGCTTTCGCGGGCAAGGGCCGTTTCCACCACTGGTCTCACCGACGCCTGCGGCATGTCTGGCCACACCAACGAGCAGCACGACGTCCAGGAGCTGTGCCGTGTGCTGTTTGACGCCCTCGGCAGGTCTTCGGTGCCGCTCAGGAAGGACATCGAGAGGCTTTACGAAGGGCGGTTGGTGCAATACGTTCGCACGCGAGAGCCTCACGATGGGAGGACGTACGAGAGCTCCCGGAAGGAGTCGGTTCTAGACCTGCAGGTGCCAATCGTGGGCTGCAGAACTCTGGAGGAGGCGCTCCGCAAGCTTGTGGAGCCAGAGGAGCTGACGGGCGACAATCAGTGGCAGTGTGACGAGCTTGGGACAAAGGTCGACGCGCTGAAGGGTCTCGAGTTTGAGTCTCTGCCGCAGATTCTGCACCTGCAACTGATGCGCTTCATCTTCGACTTCCAATCCATGAGAAGGAAAAAGCTCACCGACAATCTGTCTATTTGAAGCGCTTCGCATGCCCCGCCCGCCCGCTCTGATTCTTGTCAGAAGAGCCGAATACGTGTCCAAAACGGGATGCTATATGCTGAGCAGAGGCATACACAGACCCGCACTGGGGGCAAAACTAGTCCGAATGCTGCCCCAAAGTGGCCCCTTGGCGGCCCCAAGAGGGCCGAAGAGGGTACCCGCATTCAGCCGAAGCCGAGGACAATCATATCGTCGGTGATTTGGATGGTTTCTTCCAAGCAGCTCTGAGAGTGGCCATCGAGCTGCGCCAGGCCCAGGCGCGAGCCGAGCCCGAGCCCGACTCCGACCCCGAGCCCGAGCCCGACTCCGAGCCCGGGCCCGAGCCCGATCCTCTCCTCTTGGACGCCCCCCGACGGGGGGGAGGAAGAGGCGGATGAGGAGGAGGAGGCGGATGATGATGATGATGATGATGATGATGATGATGATGATGATGATGATGATGATGATGATGATGATGATGATGATGATGATGCTGATGACGATGATGATGACGATGATGATGATTATGATGATGATGATAAGGATTCTGATGCTGATGATGATGATGCTGATGACGCTGATGATGTTGATGATGCTGATGATGCTGCTGCTGTTGCTGATGATGATGATGATGATAAGGATGATGATGCTGCTGATGATAAGGATTATGATGCTGCTGATGATGATGTTGATGATGATGCTGATGACGCTGATGATGCTGATGATGCTGATGATGCTGATGATGCTGATGATGCTGATGATGATGATGCTGATGATGTTGATGACGATGATGATGACGACGATGCTGGTGATGACGACGATGATGATGCTGAGCACGATGATCATGATGATGAAGCTGATGATGATGATGATGATGATGATGATGATGATGGTGATGGTGGTGATGATGATTATGATGCTGATGATGCTGTTGATGATGATGACGATGACGATGCTGCTGATGAAGCTGATGATGCTGCTGCTGATGATGACGATGCTGCTGATGATGATGCTGATGCTGCTGATGATGATGATGCTGAAAAGGATGATGATGCTGGTGATGATGATGATGATGATGATGATGATGACGATGATGATGATGATGATGATGATGGTGGTGATAATGATGATGATGATGATGATGATGACGACGACGACGATGATGATGATGATGATGATGATGCTGATGATGATGATGATGATGCTGATGATGATGATGATGATGGTGATGGTGATGATGGTGATGGTGATGATGATGATGATGATGATGATGATGATGATGATGATGATGATGATGATGATGATGATGATGATGATGCTGCTGCTGCTGCTGCTGATGATGATGATGATGATGATGATGATGATGATGATGGTGGTGGTGGTGGTGGAGGTGATGATGATGATGATGCTGTTGCTGATGATGATGATGCTAAGTGGTGACGAGAGCTCAAGCGAAACGCTGGGCGATGCCAGGCCCGCCCTGTAGACACGTCCGACAGGGAGGAGTAACCGACAAGGAAGGGGGATGGAGGAGGAGGAGGAGGAGGAGGAGGAAGAGGAGGAGGAGGAGGAGGAGGAGGAGGAGGAGGAGGAGGACGAGGAGGACGAGGAGGATGACGAACAGAGGAACAGTGAGGAGGAGTGCGGAGGAAGAGCGGGATGTTGCGGAAAAGGGGGAAGAGGGGGAGAGGAGGTTCGACACCTATCTCGGCCAGCCCAATCCGATTGGAACCTGATATTCCGACGATTCGATGCGGCTCAATGCCCGTGTGGCGCTGCTATGCCTCCTGGCGCTGCCGATCCGATCCGACATTCTCTCCGCGCCGACGCAGCCCGAATCCGAAGCACGTTCCGTCTGGAGTCGGGCGACAAAATCTATGCACATCTGCTGTGCTCCGGGCAGGCCCGTCCTGAGCCCGGGAGCTGTGTATCACGCCCTCCTGGCCATGCCAGGAGGTCGTGGCGCGTATACACCGCTTTTCCTCCTCCTCCTCCTCCTCCCTCCTCCTCCGTCTCCTCCCCCTCCTCCTCCTCCTCCTCCTCCTCCTCCTCCTCCTCCTCCTCCTCCTCTACTTGAGTGGGTTTCGCGGCTTCGATGCGCGGACCGATCTTGGGGAGGAGGCGAGCAGCGCGGCGTATACGCCGCTTCTCCTCCTCCTCCTCCTCCTCCTCCTCCTCCTCCTCCTCCTCCTCCTCCTCGGGTCGCCTGCGGCACCGGAGGAAAGCGTGCAGGGCGTGCAGCGAAGAGGGGAAGGGCCTTTCAGCAGGCGGCCGGGCTGCTCAGCAACGCTCGCGCCTTCCGAGAGTCTTTCCGTGCCTTCGGGGGTCGCCCGCCCCCGCCCTTGCTTGCCTTCGGCCGCGTCCTTCCTCCCTCCTCGTGCACGGTGGTGGCACGAATCGCTCCAACGGCACCCCCGTTTGAGCCTCTCATCGCCAGCGCAGTCACCCGCCGCCTGGCCGCCGACGCAAGAAGTGTCCTCGGGGGAGGCTCAGAGCAAGCCTGCCGTGAACGAGGCTGCGTCGACCTCCCGAGCCTTCCGAGGAGGCCCGCCCCCTCGCGCTCCCCCCCCCCCCTGGAGGCCGGCCGCCCAGGGGCGGGCCGCCGGGCCGGGCCACGGGCCGCCGGCCCGTGGTGCAGAGGAGCTCACGCCCTGCCGTGGGGCAAGGCGTTGCGTGTGGTCCCCAAATCGCCTAGCCGCAGAGTGCCTACTCGCAGACGTCCGAAAAAAAACATGTTCGCCTCGATGTAATCGGAGGTTGAAAGTGGAGCGGAGAGCCCCCGCTGGGAAGTCGGTTTCGGTTTCGTGTTCGTGCGTGCCGTGCGTGCGGGCGAGGCGAAGCTGCGTGGGCGGGCGAGAGGAAAGTCTCCTATGGCTGAGGCGCGGCCGGACCAAATTACTCTTCCTCCGGCCAGCGGTGGCCCGCGGTGTCCCGCCAGTGTCCTGCCGGTGTCCCGCTTGTGGCTGGGCCCCGGCCGGACCAAATGATTCTCCTTCCGGCAAGCGGTGGCCCGCGGTGTCCCGCCGGTGTCCCGCTGGTGTCCCGCCGGTGTCCCGCCGGTGTCCCGCCGGTGTCCCGCTGGTGCAAAACGATAGTGAGACCGATGACGAGATCGATTGTGAGATCGATAATGAGATCGATAGTGAGACCACCAGTGAGATCGATCGTGAGATCGATAGTGAGATCGATAGTGAGATGAATAGTGATATCGATTGTGAGACGGAGTGATACCGACAGGGAGATCGTGAGTGGGATCGATAGCGAGATCCAGAGTGAGATCGACAATGCAATCGATCGAGTGAGATCGAAAGTGATATCGATCGAGCGAGATCGATAATGGCATCGACGATCCCATCGATCGTGAGACCGATAACGATATTGTTTGTGATATCGATAGAGAGATCGATAGTGAGATCGATGGTGAGATCGATCGTGAAACCGATAACGACATCGCTTGTGAGATCGATAGAGATATCGATCGTGAGATCGATTGAGTGGGATCGATAGTGAGATCAATAGTGATATCGATGGAGTGATATCGATAGTGTGATCGATCGAGTTAGATCGATTGTGAAAGCGATAGTGGGTCCAGAGTGAGATCGATTGAGTGAGACGTTGGGTCCTCCCCCCTCAACTCTCTTACCATCCAGGGATTTCGGCTCAAGGCTTCAGTTGCACTCGGCACGCGGGGTGGCCGCGAACGCACCCACTTGGGTCACGCACTCCCTTCGGCCTCGCTGCGACGGGCTTTGCGGCAACGCAGCAATCACCACTGTTGCCCATTGCTGGCCCCCCTCCCCCCCCCCAACCTCCTTATCACCCGCAGGGTGGTCGTATAGGTATATCGTACATCCCCCACGACGGATCCAGGCCATTTGCGAGTAGTGACTTTGCGAGAAGCGGAACGCGCTTGCCGACCAAAGGAACCCCAGGCAAAAGGACTTCTGAGACGGCCGATGCCGATTTCTCACGTCCGCGCGGCTTCGCCCACGCCGTCGCAGCCTGACGCTTTTCATTCGCGCTTCTCGGAGTCTCAGATGCAACGCCGCGGTCTCAGAAGTCCTTTGCCCTGGCGTCCCTTTATGAAACGTATGGGTGTTGGCCAGCGTGGTCCCGAGCACTGGTTTCTGTTGCGATCTATGCGGTGAAAGCTAGGTTGCGCAAGCAGTGTGGTGGAATCTAGGTCGGGGGCAACGGTATGGGGGGGGACAAGCGTAGGGGGGATGCATGGACCCCCAATCGCCCATTGATTGTCGATAGGGGCCCGATCGCCCCAACCTGCACAGAAAGGTGCAGACTCCCATTATCGGGCGCTTATCGCCGATGTATCGGCGATGTATCGCCGATTCCAGGTCGATGCACCCTCTCCAAGGTCAGTCCCCCTTATTGTTGCCCCTTACTCGGTGGTGCAGCCCGTCTGGTGCGAGCAAAGCGATGCTAAGCAGCGCGGGCCAACTCAAAGCTATGCACAGCACTGGAAACCCATGTAAGTCAATGTAAGTCACTGAAGCTAACGCAGGGAAGCAACAGTGCAAAGCAATGCGAATCGGCGCAGGGCATTTTAACGCAACGCAAATAAAGCTATGCACATCAGTGTAGTGCAATGCGAAGTAGCGCGCAGCAGTGCAAACCTATGCAGAACAGTGCACAACAATGCTCGGCGGCGGGCTTGGGGGGGAAGTGTCAAACGGGCGGGCGTTCACAGAAGGCTCGGTCGTTTCCTGGCCTCAGAGACGTCTTTTGAGCCGCCCCCGAACGCACAGAAAACTTCTCAGAAGGCCAGGGCGCTTCCGAGAACTCCCGCCGCCTTCTGAGAGGGTCTTCTCCTTCTCGCCCCCCCCTTCGCTCGCCGCCAGCGTGCAAGGCAATGGCATGCAATGCCTCGACGAGGCGGCGGGCGGTGACGACGCGGCGGCGGGGAGGCGAAGGCGGCCACGTGGCGGCTGCACCGCCACCCAGGCCCAAACGACGGGCGACGACGAGGCAGCGGGGGAGGAGGAGGAGGAGGAGGAGGAGGAGGAGGAGGAGGATGAGGAGGAGGAAGAGGAGGAGGAGGAGGAGGAGGA